GCAGCGGTTGGATGGATTGTTCTATATATGTCTATGAGGTCCAGTTGGCTGATTGTGCCCTTTAGGTCTTCTGTATCTTTGCTGAGTTTCTTCTTAGTTCATTGAAAGGTTTTTAAGCAGAGGATTGACATGACCAGGTTTACGTTTTAGAAAGATGACTCTGAGGCAGTGTGGAGAACTTTCTTCCGGGGGGAAGAAAACCAGTTAAGATGCAATTGAGAGAGTCTGAGTGAGAGAGAATGAGGGTCTGAACCAGGATAGTGGTGAAAGAGTTAATGAGAGGTGGTCAAAAGTAGAATTTATGGGACTTAGAGGCCTTCTGGGGCCCTGTTTAAGAGCTCTGCTGCTAACCAAAAGATCAGCAGTTCGAATCCACCAGCTGCTCCTTGGTTGCCCTATGGGGCAGTTCTACTCTGTCCTATAGAGTCGCTATGAGTCAGAATTGACTCGACGGCGATGGGTTTGGTTTTTTTTAGAGGCCTTCTAGATGTGGGAAGTGAAAAGGATAGTTCTAAGATAACTCCTAAGTTTTTGCCTGTGGTGACTGCATAATGGTGGGATCCTTAATTGGGACACAGGAGAGGAGGTGGTTTAGGGGAAAAGGGAAGGTGATAAAGTCAATTTAGAAATCTGAGATGTCTGTGGTGCATTTAGGTGGAGTTGTACAGCTGGTTATTGAGTATGTGGGTTTAGAGACTGGAAGTGAGATCAGTTTCAACCTGGAGGGGATGCTTTTTAGGTGTTTGTCTTAGTTATCTAGTGCTGCTATAACACAAATACCACAAGTGGGTGACTTTAACAAACAGAAATTTATTTTCTCACAGTTTAGGAGGCTAGAAGTCCAAATTCAGGGCACCAGCACTAGGGGAAGGCTTTCTCTCTCTGTCGATTCTAGAGGGAGGTCCTAATTTCTTTTCAGCTTCTAGTCCTTGACGATCATGTGACATAGCATCTATCTTCCCCCATCTCTCCTTGCTTGCTTGGTTTCTTGCTCAATCTGCTCTTGTATATCTCAAAAGAGACTTACTTAAAAACATACCCTACGCTAATACTGTGTCATTAGCATAACTAAGAAAGCCCATTCCCAAATGGGATTATAACCACAGGTATAGGGGTCAGGATTTACAACACATATTTTGGGGGACACAATTCAATCCATAACAGCATGCAACATAATTATCATTCTCAGACATTCCTTCACTGTTATCCTGGGTTGTAACCACTATTTTCTGTCTTCCTATTACTAAGTTTACTTTCTTATTTTGTTGGGTACATTGTTAAGTAAGTTCCTAACAAAGATTGAGAAGTAAATATTCTGAGCCCTTGCATTTCTGAAAATAGCTTTACTTTGCACTTAATCTAGTTTAGCTGAGTACAGAATTCCAGGTTGAAAATAATTTTCCATCTGAACTTTGCTACTGACAGCTGAATGCCAGTGTGGTTCTTATTCCTTTGTAGGTAACTTGCCCTATGTCTTGCCATCTCCCACTGGAAACTTTTAAGACCTTCCTTTTGTTCCTGGTGTTCTGAAAACTCATGTTGCTTTTCAGCACCCAGAATATTTCTTCTATTATTTCATTAATAATTTTCTTCCCTCTATTTTCCCTACTCTTTTTTTCCCCCGGGATTAATATTAGTTGGACATTGTACATCTTACGTTAGTACTCTAAATCTCTTTAGTACTCTAAATCTATTATTTGTCTGTTCTTTTTTGGTGTTGTGGTCTTCACTGTTCTGAGACATTGCTCTCTGTTTCCTGTTCTATATTTTTGTCTTTAAGCACCTTTTTTTCTAAATAAAATGTCTTGTCTGATATTTTTGATTATATAAATAGAAGGTATTTTCTCTCTTCTTTTTTGGTCTGTTTGTTTGTTTTGTTCTCTTTTTGTTGTTTATTCAACTTGGTCTTTTTCTTCTATTGTGCTTGTTGTATTCATATTCCTGGTGATTTTTGGTGTCATATTTAAGAAACGTCTGGGGAATGGTGTGAATTTTCTCTACTGTTGTGTGAGTAGGTTTGTTTTCATACCAAGTTTCTCCAACAGGTGGGAATGGAGACTGGAGGCTCTGTAAGTGGTATGGCAGGACAGGTAGACTGGCAAACTTCATTTTAGGATGAGAAGGCAGGAGTGGGCTATTCGGTTGTACCCTCCTAAATGTCAAGATAGGAAGGATTTACTGTGGGGCATTAACATCTATACTAAAAACTTTCACTTTTGTCAGACAATTTGGTCAGTGTTCCCAGAGGACTGCTATCAGGTTCTTAGTCCAGAGTAAATACTTTGCTCTGTGTGAAGGAAATGATAAGGGGTGATGGGGCTGTAGGTGTTCCCTATTCAGACCATGAAGTAATCCCCTTGTTTTTCTGTTCCAGTCCCCATTCCTACCATCTATAGTCCATGCAGACTCTGAGCTCGGGGATTCTCCCAGGTTTCCAAGGGCAGATTGAGTTTTTACATCCTCTGTAGCACTCATAACATCTGGACCAAAGATTATCTGCCTCTTTCATCTAATAACATGCTCCCACATCTGCTTTGTATCTTCCAGAAAATTGTTGAAATGTCATCTGTTAATTAACTCCTCCTATTCTCTTTGTTAATGAGTTCCTTTTGTACTTCTATAATTTTATTTCAGTGAGGTCTCAGAAGAGACAGGAGGCAATCTGCCATCTTGAGCCACAACATAAACAATTCACAAAGTTTTCAACACAACTGCTTCCTCCACCCGAGATCTAAACCATATATTTGGATCCATTCCTCCAATGTCTATTTTTGTTGATGTTAGTTCATCAATAACTATATGAAGAGCACATTATTTATTAGGTGTCATGGATATGTAGACATAGCCTCTGCTCTGTATAGTAGAGACAGATGCTAAACAGACAATTTCAACAAAGCTTACCAAAAGTTACAATGAAACAAAGAGAGCACCAGGGAAAGAGCATCCAATACTTCCTGGAGTAGTTACAAAATGATTTATAAGGAAATTGATAACCAAAGTCCATTCTTAAAGGAAAAGTTGTTTTCTAGGCAGATGAAGGTAAGGGGGTGAGGAAGTAAGGGAAGACATTCTAGTCAGAGGGACTAGTATGTCCAAAGTAAGGAAAACAGGACAGCATTCCATAATAAGGAATTATCTGGTTCAATATGTCAATAGTGTCAATGTTGAGAAATCCTGCTCTAGAAGAAGTCCTCACATGACCACATCCAGCAAGAGCAGTAGTGCAGCACTGGTAAAAGGAGACATCTGGGCAGTTGAGGCTAAGGCAGCACTCCTGGATCCCGTAGTTGCTGCAACCTCTCGAGAGGGAGGTGTAAATAGAGCCTGAGGACCAGGCTAGGGTAGGATGTAGGGGTTGCAGTGGGCAGGGACATCTTGACCACAGGTATGGTGTTGGTTACCATATCCAAAAGACCAGAGCAGTCTACTTCAAAAGTCACCACTGCAGGAAGCAGACTATAGCACTTCCTCAACAGCTGAGAGGGAGATCCAGAGGAAACCCCATGGATCTGAGCCCTCTTCAGCAATATATCCTGCAAGAGGTCATGTAAGCACCACCTCCCTATACATCAAGAATCTATCTTGGAGAGGACTAGAGGAAAGAAATGGAAGTATGAAAGATTGAACACTTATCCAAAGGACACTGTGTCATCCAAAAGTGGCAATTTAAATCAGCAGAGAATGAGGTTAGAATGATCCTCTAGCTATGCCCCTCTCACCTGGGAGGATTGGAGCTCATGAGGAAGATCAGATCAGTTTTAGGACATAAAGAAGCTTTGCACATTTGAGTATATTGTGTGAATTGTGACCCCTAAAAAAAGATTTCTGGTAATTATTTAGATTATTTCTGGTATATGTTGAGTAACAGCTTGTGATAAGGTTAGTCTGTATTTGAATTTCATTTTACCTCAGTCAGTCAGTCCAAACCAAACCCATTGCCATCGAGTCAATTTCGACTCATAGAGACCCTATACGACAGAGTAGAACAGGTCCATAGGTTTTCCAAGGAGCAGCTGGTGACTTCAAACTGCCAAGCTTTTGGTTAGCAGCCAAGCTCTTAACTACTGTACCAGCCCCCACCCAGTTCCAAGCTTTCCCCATGACTTCAGTTCTGTAAACAAAAGTTATTTCCAGTGCAAAAGAGAGAGAGAGAGAGAAATTGTTCAATTCTACTTACCTCTCTTTTTAGCCAGTCATTCTCCAAGATCTGTCTATAGCTGCCCTTGTCAATGAACCTTACAGCATTCTAAAAGAAAGTTTCTGTATTAAGGAAGAGTTGTCACTTGGTGATTCACAATTTTAGCAATGGCAATTCACAATTCAGCATTGGTGATGCCCAATCAATTTATTTGATCATTCATTTTAAATTATGTTTTGTAATTACTTGGGAACATACCTAAGAACTTTTAGTTTAGTTGTTCTTTCTTTATTACTCTCTTGTTGTATTTCTGTTGCTGATTTACACTGTCTAATACAGGCTATTTGGGGAACTGGACAATGGTGTGACTATCCATTCAGTTTGGCCTCCATTGTGACTGAATCTGACTGCCACAGTGAAATCAATCATTAAGTGGTCTGCTCCATAATTAAGATGGCTAAACTGCAAGAATTAAACATCTTCAAGCTTCTAGCCACAGATATGATCTAACATATAGCAAACACATGAATATATTACATTAATATGTCTTTTTAATTTGAAAGATTTCTGCATGTCAATAATAGCAATGCATATATTTACAAACCTAAAAACAAATAGTTTAAGGGTAGCAGGAGAGTCTCCTGGGAAAAAAAAATTTTAGATGAAGAAAAGGCTTACTTCGTCACTAGGTTAATAAAAAGTAAATTCATTTTCAATTATTTGGATATTTACAGTTTCACCAAAAAGAGATTTATAGTGCATAACACATCATATTTATCTGTGAGATACTTTTATATGGATGCCGGGTTACAAATTAAATATTCAGTAACTGAAGGGCAATCAAAAGAAAAGAAATTAAGAAAAATACCCTAGATCATAAACATGGACAGAAATAATTTAAAAGTATGTTAAGAGTAAATTTTTTTGTTAAATCTTTAGAGTTGGAAGATTTCCAATCAAGAACAAAAAAAATGTTTTTTTAATCGTGCTAATTAAACTAAAAGTAGGCCTATACTTCCTAGGAACCAGGGACTTTTATATTCCCGCTACAACAGATAATTCATTTATAAATTTATAATTTCATTTATAAAAAAGCAGTTCAGTACATAACTGAAGTTAGTTGGCTAGCAGCTTAACACACTAACAATGCAGCAGTGGTTTTCAACTTGACTATACATTAGAATATCCTGGAAGTTTTGAAAAATCCCAAGCCCAGGCAACATCCAGGCCAACTACATTAGAATCTCTATGAGTAGGACCCAAGCATCAGTATGTTAAAAAAAAAAAAACACTCTCAGGTGATTCCAACATACAGCTAAGGGTGCAAAGAACTAGATTATAGGAAGTTGAACTGCATGTCAAAATGCTCAGATAAAATGAGGAAAATTCATTCAAGCATGCGGTATACAGCATTATGTGAGGGAAAAAAATGTGTAGTGTAGTGATTAAAAGCAATGATGTGAAGATCTCCTGAATTGAATCCTGATTCTGTCACGTTCTAGCTCTGGGAAAGTCATAAGATATCTCTGTGTCTCAGTTTCATCATTACCAATCCCTACCCTATAGGATTGTTGAGAGACTTAAATGTAAAGTGCTTGGAACCGTTTCTGGAACAGTCCTCATTATATATACTTGAAGTCTTTATGCTTGAAGCACGTTTGATCTACATATGCATTTTTAATAATTTATTTTATTTTGTTGTTGAGAATATACACAGCAGATCATACACCAATTCAACAATTTCTACTTGAACAATTCAGTGACATTGATTATATTCTTCAAGTTGTGCAACCATCCTCATCCTCCTTCTTGCAATTGTTCCTCTCCCATTAACATAAACTCACTGCCCCCTAAGCTTCCAATCTAATCTTTCCAGTTGCTGTTGTCCATTTGATCCCATATAGATAGTTATTAAAAGAGCACATTTTAAATCATCTTAACTATGGTCAGGTCACTTCATGGTTGATTTCACCATTTAGTCAGATTCAGTCACAAAGTGCATGGGCAAACCACTGGTCGCTTCTCCATAATCCTCTGTATTTGTGTAAATCAGTAAAAATCATGCAATAGGCTAGTATTAACACTGAAAGACCAACTGAATCAACAAGGCAAGAAACAAGCAATAGAGCTGAAATTTAGTGAAGAACTCTAGAAACAACCAGACATTTATGATTCTGAAGAAGCGATGTCACAGACAAAAAGGTAACTGCAGTGGCACCCTCAGTGATTTAGGAGGTTGTCTGAAGATAGGGGAGGGGCAATGAAGACAAAGGAACATCAAGTATTTTGTGCAAAACTAAGAAATGAAAAGGCATGTAAAACTGAAAACTATATCTCATTTTTTTAGTATTCCAAAATTTTTAAGCAGCAGCAATGTAGAGTATACTCTCTGAGGTTTGGGTATGTAAGAAAGTACTTTTAAGGCAAATTATATAATTCATCCAAACTTTTTATTCTGATAATTTACTATTATCACTATTATACTTGAAAAATAACAGCATAATAATTTATGTTACTTAAATCATCTAATTTAACCTTCACACTATCTCTTTAACGTAAATACCATTCCTATCCCCATTTTATAGATTAGGAAACTGAAGCCCAGAAAAGTTAAGTAACAAATTTCAGGTTATACAGCCAGCAACAGGTAGGACTGGAATTTAAATTCAAACTGCCTAACATCAGAACCCAAATTCTTAACCATTATAATATACCACAAGGAAAAACTGGGGAAAAGGTTTTTTTCTTTTTTTTTTTAAGAAAATTGAAAAATACCTGTGTGGCCCATTCCTTCTTTTGGTCCAGTTGTAACAAAGTCTCTCTGATTATTCTCTTTCTAGCATCTTCCAGCGTGATTTTATACTGTTCTTTAAAAAGAAAATTAGAAGCCTTAACAAGGCTGATCCTAGATAACACTGTGATAATAAATTTTATTTTCCATGATCCTCACCTCTCCTTCCTGAAAAAATTTTTCCTGAATTTTCAGAGTACATATTTACTAATGTATCTAGTTCCTGCAATTAGAAGAAAAGCTCCAATAACTTAAAAAAAAAAAAAAACGTTGCCCTTGAGTCAATTCCAGTTGACAATGACCCTATAGAAGAGAGTCTAGAACTGCCCCAAAGGGTTTCCAAGGCTGTAAATCTTTGGAAGCAAACTGCTCTACATCTTTCTCCTTCAGAGTGGTTGGTGGTTTCTAACCACCGACCTGTCGGTTAGCAGCTGAGTGCTTTACCACTGCACCACCAGGTCTCCTTCCAATAACTAACACCTTAATGTGAATTAGTTTAAGATGATAGCCATCCCAAGAATATCTGCATATTCAAATTCTCTTCAAAGAGAGAATTTCAAAGACTTAACAGTATTTGTGTAGGCAGTCTACACTTCATATCACACAACTTATAATTCCACAACAGAAATATAAAGATTTTACTATTTGAGTGAAAGCTCCTCAGACTCCAACTAAATTTCCAGCACTCTTGGCACATGTTTCCTGGGGTAGGAAAGGTAGAATGAAAAGAGGAGAGTAAGAAGTAGTGGAGGGTGAACACAATCAAACACTCTGAGAGACAGAGTAGCAGGGGTAGGGTCTGGGGCCCATGCTTTCAGGGGACATCTAGGTCAATTGGCATAACAAAGCTTATTAAGAAAATGTTCTGCATCGAACTTTGGTGAGTGGCGTCTGGGGTCTTAAAAGCTTGCAAGCAGCCATCTAAGATGCATCAATTGGTCCCAATTACCTGGAGTAAAGGAGAATGAAGAACACCAAAGACACAAGGAAAGTAGTAGCCCAAGAGACAGAAAGGGCCACATAAATCAGAGACTTCATCAGCCTGAGACCAGAACAACTAGATGGTGCCCAGCTACCACCAGTGACCGTCCTGACAGGGAACACAACCGAGGGTCCTGGATGGAGCAGGAGAAAGGTGGGGTGCAGAACTCAAATTCTAGTAAGAAGAACAGACTTAATGGTCTGAGACTGGAGGAACCCCGGAAAGCATGGCCCCTGGATTCTCTATCAGCCCAGAACTAAAACAATTTCTGAGGCCAACTCTTGAGACAGATTGGACTGGACTGTGGGACATAAAGTGATACTCGTGAGGAGTGTGCCTCTTAGCTCAAGTAGATACAAGAGACCATGGCAGCTTCTGTCCGGAGGTAAGATGGGAAGGCAGAGAGGGTTAGGAGCTGGTTGAATGGACATGGGGAATCAGGGGTGGAAAGGAGGAGTGTGCTGTCACAGTTGGGGAGAGCAATTAGAGTCACATAACAATGTATGTATAAATTTTTGTCTGGGAGACTAACTTGAAATGTAAACTTCATTCAAACTACAACAATAAACAAACAAACAAAAAGAAGTAGTGGAGGATGTGAAAGTTAGTAGACCTGGTTCTGAGTTAGGCTCAGAGCAAGAAAGAAGGACAGAGGTTGGGGAGTGCAGGATTCTCTACTCTCTCCAAATTTTCTTATGCTTATAAATGTCAGCACTGAGAGAGCAAAGAATCATAAAGTTTTAGGCCTTGAAAGATGCTTAGAGATCATATAGCTAACATCTGTGTTTAAGGAAAAACCAAATCCATTGCCGTCGATTTGATTCTGACTCATCTGACCCTATAGGACAGAGTAGAACTGCCCCACAGGGTTTCCAAGGAGCAGCTGGTAGATTCAAACTGCTGACTTTTTGATTAGCAGCCGAGCTCTTAACCACTGCGCCACCAGAGTTCCATCTTTAGGGAAAACTAGGTATTAAAAAAAAAAAAAAATCCACTGCCATTGAGTTGATTCTGACTCATAGAGACCCTATAGGGCAGAGTAGAGCTGCCTGTATAAGGTTTCCAAGGCTGTAAATCTTTATGGAAGCAGACTGCCACATATTTCCCCCGTAGGGCAGTTGGTGGGTTCGAACCTTTCAGTTAGTAGCTGAGCAAACAACCATCCTTTCCATATGACTTAGATAGGACTTACAGATGCCCCCTTGTTTACCTATGACAAGGCCAGACACAGACCCTCCAAATTCATATTCATTGCCTAATCAATGAGTAACTGAATTGCTTGTCTCAACCAATCAATCAGAAACAAAATGTTAACCAAATGTAAACAATGTTTGGTGAAGCTTCTCGCCTTCCCCCAAGTCCCTGAACTTTGGCCCACCTTCAGCCTGAGCCAACATACTACCCCTCTTTAAGAGCTCCTCGCAGAGAATAGGCTGACCTCATCATAAAACATTCTCTGATTTACTATCTGATGACGTCACCCTGTCATCTCACTTCTTCACACTTGGGTTTTTTTAATCGTTTTTCTATCGGCAAACTTAAAACAGCACAGTGCCTGTCACTGCCAGCTGCTTAGCCAAGGAAAAAGCACTGAAATGCTGAGCCATACACAGGAAACAGAAAAACTTGGATAAAGGAGATGCTGCCTGAATGTTAAGTAGCAATTAATAGGTATTTTTGTTGTTGTTGTTAACTGCTCTTGATACATAAAAAACAGGCTTGTACAGTCTAATAATGATAATAAACCCTTCAAGAACTGGCTTCTTTTCTTTTGGAGCGCAGATGCGATGCAGGCAGGAGCCTCCCCACCTCCCCACAGCTCTCCAGCGGAATCCAGGCACCATTCTGGAGCATACGTGGACCATTCTCTGTCCGTTTGCTCTTATTCCTGAGTTTTACTGTCTGAGTGCCCCTCATTCTCTATTCCTAAGTCCACACCCAAATCCTACACATCCTTCGGGCCTATTTCAAATCCTACTTCTTCCATGAAGTTTTTCCAGAATCCCTCGTCCCTAAAGCTCCCCTCCAGAAAATTTAGTCCTTATTGTTTGTTGCATTGGTTATCTATTGCTGTATAGCAAATTACCCCAAACCTAGCAGCTTTAAGCAACCACAACCATTTATTATCTCCCAGCTTTCTATGGGTTAGGAGTTGGGCACAGCTTAGCTGGGTACCTCTGGCTCAGTGTCTCACTCAAGTTTGCAATCAAGGTGTTACTCAGGACTGCAGTGATCTGCAAGTTGAGTCATTCAAGGTTCAAATGGGGGAGGATCCAAGCTCACGTGGCTGTTGGCAGGTCTCAGGTCCTTGCTACCTGTTGGCCAGAGACATCAGTTCCTTGTGGGCCTCTCCGTAGGGCGGCTTATAACATGGCAGCTGTCTTCCCTGAGACTAAGAGAGTGCCCAAAACAGAAGCCACAGTCTTTTTTTTTTTTACCTAATATTGGAAGTGACATCCCATGGCTTTTGCCATATACTGAAGCGGAGGAGCATGAATACCAGGTGGCAAGGATCATTTGGGGCTATCTCAGCAGCTGCCACTGTATCTGTTCAAATCAATTAATTGGAAATTAATCATATATTGCCAGATGTAATTATCACATTATTTTTTCATATCTCACCTTCAATCTAGATTATAAATCCCTCAAGGGTAAGGACTGTGTGTTAGTCATCTCAATAACTCTCTTTATATCCCCCTTGATGCCCATGGCTGAGGAAGTTGCCAGTATTTAATAAACGTTTGCTAAATATGATAATTTGTTGAGGAACAGTCAAATGAAAATATATGAAAAGAAGCATGTACCAAGACTGTACTACTCTAAATGAATTAATGTGAGAATAATTAAAAGGTTGTCATACCCTGATATGTCCCCCGTTTATGCATTAGTTGTGTTGTATTATAACATCTGCAGGATAATTATTTGGAAGTCAGAAGTTATTTTCCCGTAGAAATGATGCTGAAAATTATGATTGTTAGGATTGCTAGGACCCTCAGGGATCTTAGGCTTTGGGGAAGGAGATGTGCAGTTCTAGGTCTTTGAAGGGACCAGGAGCCAAACTAAGGCTGCTACCACGGAACTAGGGAACCAAGGACCTAAGCAGGAGTTATGCAGATGTAACCTGTACTTGGTACTTGCGTAACTGTTTCATCTATTAAATGTAAACTCTGATAGTAGAAAGTAAAAACTTCTGTTTCACATCTTTCTACTACTGCAGGACCTTGAACATAAAACATATTGAAAACTATTTTTGAAGAAAGTTAAATCTGGCAAACAACGAGTCTTCATGGGCAGTGATTTGAGGCTTTAGCACCGGAGCAGCAGCAGCAAAGGCTGGCTCTTTGGCGGCAACTTTGGTGGGAAGGGAAAGGGGAAACAAAAAGAGAGAAGGGGGAAGGAGCCATGGTGGTGCAGCGGTTAAGCGTTCGGCTGCTAACCAAAAGGTTGGCAGTTTGAACCTACTCAGTATCTCCACAGGAGAAAGATTTAGCAATCTGCTCCTATAAAGATTACAGCCTAGAAAATCCTGTGGGGCAGTTCTACTTTGTCACATGGGGCAACAACAACAGCAACAAAAGAGAGAAGGGGCAAGCTCTCCCAAGTTGAGGAATGGCCGGAAAGGTGGCCTGAACAGGTCAGTTTCTGCCTCTGACAGAGTTGGAACAAGGGTGTCTTACTGAGGCCGCTGTTCATAAACAAGAGAGTTCATTAGGTTTAGGAGACTAGTCTAACTTGTCATCCGGAGAATACGATGGAAGTCTGTATTACTCCAACCTACATATTGTCATCTACATAACCTTTTTTTTTTTTCTTATCCTTTTTCAAAGTAATCAGTGGAATGAACATTTTAATCCTTCAAATCTCATTTCTGATGGAGCTTCTCTTTCAGTTCAGTATCTAGTCCATCAGCTAATGCTGGTTATTTATTTGAAATTTCTACCCAACAAAGCACCACAATCAATCTAAAAGTTGCAGTGGATCAGGATTTTAGCTATAATGGATTGTACATTTTTAGCATCTGAAAGAATCCATAAAACCTGAGGCTTGATAACATTAAATACTTATACTTGGCTGTAAATCATAAAAAACATATT